TTATAGGGGAGATCATATGGTATTTGTTTTTCACCAACGGGCTTATTTCACTTAACATAATATTCTCCAGTTCCATCCATGGTGTCACAAAAGATAGGAGTTCCTTATTTCTCTCTCTCTCTCTCTTTTTTAATGCAGATTGATTTTATTTATTTATTTAAATGTCAAAATCCATTATAATATATTAAATCATTTATATTTTTTATAAAGTTCAGCAATAAAAACAACATGGCATCAGCACAGAAAATATCAAGTAAATCAATGAAATAAAATGATCAATCTAGAAAGAAATAAACATGTATCTAACAATGTAATAAAGGATTAAAATGGTATCTCAGATCACTAGGGAAGATAGGCTTATTCAACAAGTACAGTGCTTGGACTACTATTACTTGAAATTAAAAAGAAGTAGAGAGTTCTATTTCACACATTAAACAAAAAATATCCAGGGGAGTTAAAAATCAGTATGTAACATCTAAGGAGTTATAGAAAATATAAAATAATATTTTTCTTACCGTGAAGTAAAATATTCAAACCACAAAGTTATAAACTATTGACAATATGACTATATTAAACATTTAAGGCTATATAATAATGTGCATATTAAAAAGTTAAAGGACATGATATAGAGTAAGAAAGAATTCCCAACACATCTTAAAAAGGGTTAATAAGATTTTTAAAGGTTTTATTTATTTATTCTTAGACAGGAAAAGACAGGGAGAAAGATAAAGAGGGAAACATCAATGGATGATTGCCTCTCACATGCTTTACACCAGGGCCCTGGCCTGCAACGCAGGTATGTGCCTTAGACTGGGAATCACACTGGTGATCCTTTGGTTCACAGGCTGGCATTCAACCCACTGAGCCACACCAGCTGAGGTGAATTATTATTTTTTTGTTTGTTTGTTTGTTTGCTTTATTTTTTATTTTTTTATTTTTTTAAATTTATTTACTTTTTAAATACATTTGTCTCTGCCTCCCCCCCAACCACTTTCCCTTGTCCCCTCCCTCCTTCCCTCCCTCAGCTCTTCGCCTTTGGTTTTGTCCATGAGTCCTTGCTATATGTTCCTTGACTTATTCTTAATTTAGCTTTTTATTTAAAATGAGAGTCATTCAATGTAGAGAAAATGTTTCAATAGCCACTGTACTGAAGAATTATGAGCATTAAACTCCAGTTCAGTGAATTATCTTCAGTTTGTTTCTTTCTTTTTTTTTCCTAACTTAGAAAAGTATCCTAAATATTTCTGGCTTTTTCAATAATATTGAAATTAATAACAAAATTTGCCTCCTCCATGTTAGAAGCCCTGCTCCTACTCATAGAGTATGACTCTCAGGCACCATTACACCATCACCACCCTCATCTGTGCCCAGGCCTCAACTACTCTCTTATTGAGAACAAGACTCTCTTGGCTCTGAAGGAAACTGACACCACCTTCAGTAGGCAGCAGCTGCAGAAATCATCCAGAACCATTTTTCCCTAGAAGGAGTCAGTGCAAAAATTCTTGAGCAGGCAATAGTGTAGGCCATTGGACAAAATCTGAGCAAGAAGGAAAGGCCAGGTACCCATGGTCTCCAAGACAGAGATCTCAGGTGCCTAGCAGCAGGCATTTGAATAAAAATGAGTCAAAAGTGACACATAGGGGGATGGTGAACTGGAATGTTGACTTGGACAATGGATGTGAAGGCCCAGAGATTCCTGTCGATACTTCAAAGCTCATCCTTATTTCTCCACAGGAGTCAAAGATACACTTGAGACCCATGTACTCTGTATCTAACACTAAAGTGACAAAGAAATTATATATATATATATATATATATATATATATATATATATATATATATATATATGTCTTCTCATAGAGTAATGAGACAAATGAAGCAACAAGTATATTTCAAGCCATTAAAATGCCAATGAAAGAGATTTAAAATTATCACAGCACTTTCTCTATTTGCGTGATGCTCCATCACTCTGCTGGAACAGGTCTTGCTCTGTACATTGCCTACATAAGAAACTTTCCTAGAAGAAAACCACTTTCTCTCAGGTCCCACTGGAGCATGTACTCCAATGCCATGTGTTTGGATTCTGTTCAGGGGGACAGAGAGGAGAACTGCTCCTTCCTGAGATCTACAAACAAATAACTAAAGTGGTTTGGGGAAATGAAATTACAGAGTGATCAATCAACATGCAAACAAATGGCCTGAGATCTCCCTAGAGAAATACTAGATTATACATATTTCTTTAGATGTACTCTATTACCCTGGTGGGGAGCAGCTGCACATCAGAACGTATATCAGAAACTCTTCAAGAGTTTAACCACAATAGCCAATAAATTAGACATCTCATTTTCTAATATGCAGAAATGTCTGGGCTCTCTAGTAGAATTGTCTTAGAAAATCAAATTGCCTTAGACTATATACTAAGAATAAGGAGGAGTTTGCATGACCACTTACTCCTCCTGTTGTTACATTGACACCTCAGCAAGGATCGAAACAAGCATCACCTAAACCAGGGAGCAAGTTCCCTGGCATGAACAAACATTGGACCATCATATCCCTCTCTTTGAGGAAACTCAGGATTAGTTTATGAGACTATTGTCTCAATATATTGGGGACTACAGGGGCTGAGGTACATAGAGAAGGATTTTTTTCCTACTGCTTAGTTTTTTTTAATTAATTAATTAATTTTTAAAATGTATTTTTTCAAATGGATTTGTCTCTGCCTAGCCCCCACCACTTTCCCTTGCCCCCTTCCTCCTTCCCTCCCTCAGCTTTCCCCCTTTGGTTTTGTCCATGAATACCATATGATCTCACATATAAGTGGAACTTAACCAACAATACAAAGATGCAAGGAAAATAAGACCAGCAACACTGAAAGGAAAAGAAATCATCAGAGACAAGAGAAGGAATTTTTAATTTAGCTTTAACATTCTGTGCTTTATAATGCTTGTCTTTATTGTTGTGTAGTACTTTATGACTTCCTTTCCCCATGCCAGAAAAATAGAATCTTGTATACAGGCACTTCTAAAAATATACCTGATTTTAACTCACAAGGTTTTTCTTTCCTACTGGCTCAGGTTTTTCATTCCCGCAGAAGGGTCACCATGTATCAATAGCTCTATACATGTTGGGAAGAATTGACATCAGAAATGGAAACATGAAATAAACATTTTAAATTGCTGAGAATTACTATGGAATGGAATCAGAAATAGTACTAACTTTAAAAAAAAATCACATACACAGTTTTCCTTAAATCATATTGCATGTGCCGTCAGTCCCCGTCCTGCTTATACAAGAAACCACCTTCAAACCACCACAGTTTTAAGTGGCAAAAGTGACCCAACAGAAAAAAAAAGTGTTGGCACCAAATAATTTCAGAACTATAGCAACAAAGCTCTGAACTGGGACCAGGAAGGGTACTAACTGCATGTCCACAGCCTATCCCCATTACCACATTTTTCTTTTTGTTACTATATTTCATTAAAAAAAATCCATCCTTCATTGAGATATTAATGATTGTTGTAACCTGAATAAAATGACTCTCTCTTACAGCAATTCCTTACTTCTACACTTTAGCTTTTGAAATTTCAGGCAGCCAGATGTGCCTTTGGTTATATCACCATTGTGTCTTCTAGTGAGGGCTCCCTTCCTGGTTCATATCAGACAGCTTCTTGTTGGGTCCTCATGTGGTGACACCTAACATTATCAGTGAGCTTTCTGAACTTATTGAGAAAAGCAGTAACCACTTTCTTAGGGCTCTCATGACCTAAGATACCCCAAATCCCCATTTTAATATTATCCTCTTTGGGGAATGAGGAATTATACATATAAACTTGGAAGAACCCCTGTTTTCGGTCCACACAACTGACCTAGAGCTTCTAGAGAAAGGTTGATTCTTCCACCACATTGACCTGAGTCCAGAGAAGAGATTTTATGCTCCAACTTTCAGATTGTATAGGAATACATGTGTAGAAATGGCATCCTCTCATGTGTGGTAATTGATTCCATTGTCCTAGGAATGTAGAACAGGCTGTATGTGGTCTCCCATTGTCAAGGGTGTCCCCATCCTGCAGGCCGCGTGATGACCAATATTGCCTAGGGGCAGGGAAACTTACAAGGCTGTAGTCTCAGGTGAGGAGACTCTTCAGAGTCTCCTTCTGAGGGAGAATTGATAGAACGCTGTGATGTCACAGACTTTGCTGGAACCTGGAACTTTGTCCGCTCTCAACTGTGCATCCAGGATGTCATCTCTATGATGATTGTCCAGAGTTAAGGACATAGAAAGTCCTCCTTGACATTCATGTATTTATTTTAACTACACAATGCCATTTTTCAGAAATAGGGAATGTCATACAACTTGCTGGAAAGTCACTACAGTCCAAACTCTCACACCTGACCCTAACCAAGGTTCCCAGATGATGCTTCTATGAACACCACTCACTTAGAGAACAAGGAGGCTCCCAATGTGCCCCTTGCATAAACCAGATTAAATAACAGAGGTCCTTTCAGAAGCCCCCTTCCAGCCTCTCCCTTGCAGTGCAGCTGGTCTCTTGAAATGATTCCCTTAATTTCTGATGGGGCATGTATGGCTGCATATGTCCTGGTCTCAGAACCGTAACTGTGAGTGAGACAATCAGGAGGCTCATCACCGTATCATCTCATCAGTACAGTCCAGCTGTTCTGTTTCTCAGGGTTAGTGACACACTAAGAATGTGGATCATCACACTGAGACTCTTGCACAATATTCTGCCCAAAAAGTGTAGAATACGGGGCCCCAATGGCATTGCCATGAGGGACAGGGATGGGTGTCTTCTTAGGAGCAGAAGCAGGTACAGATGCAGGAACAAGACAGCCAGTACAAGTGGTCCTTGCTTGTCAGAGTCTGTGGAACAGTTTAAGTGTAGTTTTCCACCATATATGCTGTTGTTTTGAGTGCCCCCTGGTGTCCTGAGCCCAACATGTAGCCAGCCCTCCTGTCCCCTGACAGGAGTTTTAAGCCTGGGCTAACAATGACTTCCCCTCACTGTGTCTCTAGCACAGTAATACACAGCCGTGTCTTCATTGGTCACAGAGCTCAGCTGCAGGGAGAACTGGTTTTTGGATGTGTCTCTGGTGATGGAGGTGCGGCTCTTGAGGGATGGGCTGTAATAAGTGCTTCCATCATAACATATGTACCCAATCCATTCCAGCCCCTTCCCTGGGGGCTGGCGGATCCAGCTCCAGCACGAACCACTAGTGATGGAGTAACCGGTGACAGCACAGGTGAGGGAGAGTGTCTGCGAGGGCTTCACCAGTCCTGGACCCGACTCCTGCAGCTGCACCTGGGACACGACAACTGGGGACAAGGAACATTCATCCTTTTCAGTCACATCCAGTCACCACCATACCACAGATCCCTGTCTCACATTGAGACACTTACCCTGGGGGGCTGTCACCAAGCACAGGAGTAATATGAGCATTGTTATTTTCTGCTAGAGCACAGCTCTGCCTTCCCCAGAGACCTCTGTCCCGTTTGAGGAGAGAACTGTCACTCCCACTTCTCAGGGGGAAATTTAACCATTATCTGGGAGAGAAATTTGCATGGGGGGCCCTCTGTTGTTATAAGTGGGGAGTGGCTGAGGTCTCAGCCCCATGTTGTTCTGAGTCCCTGGCACATTTCTTCTCTTGGGCTCAGGGGTGTAGTTCTGAAGCTAGAGAAGCATGAATATTGAGACATCCTTGAGTCATTTCAATGGACAGCCCTCTTTCTATGTTTAAAAGGAAAGCTGGACTAGATGAGAGGTTCACACTATTTTAATTTATTGGGCTGTTCAATTCATTAATAAAATTGATTAAGATTATATACACACTTCTTCAACAGTACAAGGGAACTCATTATGTTGTAGACTCGTAGTTGATAGATTGAATAATCATACTTATAAAAATATGTAAATGTTGATGTAAAAACCATTACAAAGAACAGTCCCTTCCTTGCCCTGGCTGAGGCTCTGCTCCTGCAGGTGGCAGTGCAGGTGCAGCCTTTGCCTCAGTCCAGCTCCAGCGCTCAGGTCATGCAGGCAAACATCTGCTGTGAGAGGTCATCCAAGGCTCTGCAGTTGAGACAAGGCTTAGACACACCGTGTCCTTCCCTCATCTCACCTCCCCCAGGCCACTGCAACCCTTCCTAAAAGTGAGACACTCAGGAGGACTCCCAGTTTCCTACACCAGCATGAGCTGTTGAGACCCTGGACTCACCTTCTTCCAGATAGATACAGGCAGAGACTCTGGGACAGCAGACATTCTGAGAAGTGTGTGGATGATGGGACTTGCTTCCTCGTCATAAGGAGCCAGTTTGGGACGTGCCATCCCTGTGTTCACCTGACATCCTGGGAGAAATGGACCTAGAGGCTGATATCCTGGGAAAGGGACTGGAAACTCATAATGGGTGCAACTTACAGGTGGAGGGAATCCAAAGTGCTAAGTGGTTGTATCTTTTTATGAAATCACTAACCTGGAATTTGTATACGGAATGAGGTACCAGGGGAAAAGGCATTTGAGCCTCATAGTTGAGAATTCCCCATGTGTGTTAACAGCAACGATAATAGTTAATCTCCAGGTAGTCTTTGGGTTCACAGTTTACAGAGGAAATGTGAAGTCCAGACCTTTGGGAAGGGCTCCAGCGCAGGATGTCTAACTCTGACTCTGACTAATCCCCATAAAGTGCAATCCTTGACAGGAGGCAGCTGACCCACCACATTTCCTGCAATGAGAACTATTTCAGACAGTGGACGCTGCCACTCAATGTGTCACACCAAGAAGTTTGTCTAACCTTTGGTCTGTTCTAACCTATTTGCTCATAATTAAGATTGTTCCGCTCTTCGGTGGTTGCCAATGTCTCTTTTCCGTGCTAGAACAACTCAGTCTCAGTAAAGCAGGTTTTCATCTGGAAGCTTTACATCTCATCCTTCTTCATCTACTTGTGCTCTCCTCTGTGCATGATGATAAGAAAGCTTGGAGGATCACGCCATTGTGTCTGGTGGGACAGTCAATCCACTCAGGCCCTTTCCCAGCACAACAACCCTCTCTGGTCTTCACACTCTGACCACAGTGGACCTTGAGACAGGCTCCTTGCCCAGCTATCAGAAGCCACTTCACCACCTCTGGAGAGGCCTGCCCAAACATTCTCAGATCTCATTCATGTCAGAGCTGACCTCCACCTGAAGCCTTTGTGTGTGGGCATCATCAGATTCCATGCCTGTAGCTTCTTTGGGCATGAGCCTGTCCTGGTTTGACAAGGGCTGCAGCCATTGATTCTGTGTGCATGGGCTTGGACAGTGACCAACACCACTGGGCCAGAGAGCTTCCTTTTGCTGATGAGATTTCTCTGCTCTCAGAGTCCCAATTCTGACTCTGGAGAATATGCTCAAGCAATTGTCAGATGAAGTGGAAACCCTAGACTACAAGGTAACACAAGGATTAGCCTCTGAGTGCAACTGCTCTTGGGTGGATGTTCTGACTTCAGGGTACTAAACATCCCTTCATGTCCAGAATATATGCTGGGGATAGGAGATTCCCTGGTTTATGAGACACAGTCTAATTGGTTCAAAGGACGATTTAACCATTCTGGGCATAAGAAGAAATAGTGGACTAAAGGAACCTGTGACAACTTTTTAAATCTCATGCATCTTTTAAACAGATTTAAAATGTTAATTAACATTTTTCAGATACCTCATGAACCTCAAAACTCTAATATATCCATAATGTGAACATATTTATATCATAATGTAAATGCAAATAATGTCTACCCTGGGGTAAAAAAAATAAACCAGATTCATTTTGAAAGATATGTTTTTGCTATTCCATGACATTTTTGTGATCTGGGAAACTGCCTCTGAAGCATAGGCAGCTGGGGCCTTCTTGATTCTTCATATTGGTAATGTGATTTTGTCTAAGCTCCCTGTGCAAACCCTTCCTGTATGCAAATATAGCAGAGAATCCAAACTAATCACATTAAATTATTCACATTCTTAAATGCAGAAAAATTCTAGAAATGCAAATGATGATTATGTATGTGTACAACCCAGAATTTTTCATATGTCAGAAATTATGGCAGGTGATTATCTGACCTGTTTTCTCAGTCTAGTGTTGTCAGTGAAGTTGGGATTCAGAAGCAGGGGAAGAAGGGGAATTCCTGGAACATATTTGCTCACAGGAATGGGCTCTTTCAACTGAACAGGAAAACCTGACTTACAGCCACCTTTGGCTCTATTTCTGGTGATGGTCACTCTGGTAGAGGCTGCTGGGCTGTCCAACACAACATATAATTTTCTTAGTGTATACTAAACACAGCCTTCCATCAGAGACGTGATTTGGAATTATATCTTTTTAAGTGTTTAATGGATCTTTGTTGGGACAAATTTATTTAATTTTAACAAAGTATAAGTTATGAATATTTGTAAAGAATTATCTTGATTGTTTAAAAAACTCCCCAGAAAATGGTCAACTTCCATTTTACATTTAATTTTATATTGCTCTCACGTTTTTTTTTAAATTTTTTATTGTTCAATTACATTTGTCCCCATTCCCCTCTTTGATCTCCCTGAACCTACCCGCCCCACCCTGAACATTCAATCTTCCAGTTTGGTCTTTCTCCGTGGATCCCTTATACATGTTTCTTGATGATCTTTCCCCTTCTTTCCCTCATTATCCCCCTCACGCTTCCCCTAGGGTTATTGTCAATTTATTCTTTTTTTCCATATCTATGGTTATATTTTTCTTACTTGCTTGTTTTGTTGTTCAAGTCCCACTTATTGGTGAGATCATGTGGTATTTGTCTTTTCCCACCTGGCTTATTTCCTTTAACATAATGTTCTACAGTTCCAAACATGCTGTTAGGAAGGGTAGAAGTTCCATCTTTCTTTCTCCTGCATTCCATTGTGTAAATGGACCACAGTATTTTGTTTTTGTTTTTGTTTTTTTTTTTTTGCTCCACTCATTTACTGATGGACACTTAATCTGCTCCCAGCACTTCACAATTGTAAATTATGCTGCTTTGAACATTGGGGTACATAGATTCTTCTGAAATGGTGTTTCAGGTTTCGTAGGTTATAATCCCAGCCATCGCTGGGTCAAAAGGCAGTGGAATTGCTGGGTCAAAAGGCAGTTCCATTTTTAGTTTTCTGAGGAAATCTCATAATATTTTCCACAGTGGCCACACATGTCTGCTTTCCCACCAAGAGTGGAGTAAGGTTCTGTGTTCTGCACAACCGCACCAGCACTCGTTGTTTGGTGCTGTGTTTATTTTGACCTCCCTGACAGGTGTGAGGTGGCCTTTCATTGTGGTTTTAATTTGTACCTCTCTGATGGCTGGTGATATTGCACTTCCCTTCATGTGTGCCTGGGTCCTCTGTATGTCCTCCATAGAGAAGTGTCTGTTCAGGTGCTTTGCCCAATTTTTAATTATAGTGTTTGCCCGTGTTGATTGGTTACAGCAGCCATAGGTTCAAGAATAGGTGTTTGTGCCAGGAGTGGAGGTCTGCCTGAATAATTACCCACAACTCTGGAAATGACTTTGGAACACGGTAAAGGGTAGATGTTGGCCTTATTTTGAATCACATGGCAGAAACCTGAGGAATTTCCATGACTAGAGTATTAGTAAAAATAAAAGATAAGATGCTTTTTAAATTAGGACAAAGAAGTGAGTACAGGGCATGTTAGAAGTACATTATATTTTCTAAAAATAGCTATGTTGAGGTATTCTTCAAAATGAGAAACTTTAAAGGTTTTGCAGGTAGAAATCAAAGGAAATAAGGATCATGTCATTGTAAGTAGGTGGAAAGGGGATTTCTTTGTTACCTACATTCATATTTCCACAGACTCTCTTTTATATTTGTAAATAGTGTAACATGTGTAGAAAATTAGGTGGTAGACACCTTTTAAGCCATTATTCATCTGGTGTCACCAAGGACCACCAAAAATGTGTAATTCATTGGAACTCCATTTATAAATCTCTGAACACTTATAGAAAACAGGGGACACACCTGCCTGGTGGAGCCTTAGAGATGGTGTGTCTGTATGAGGAGCCACAGTTTCTTTGCTTCAAGAGCTCTGCCTCAGTCCATTGTAACTTTTGTCAACGTTGTCATCATCATCATTGTGATCATCCTTTGCTTATTTTCATAACATACTTGTTTTTTGTTTATATTATTGTTATCCACATGCAATGGCCCTCTATTTGAAAACAAAACAGGCATTGTCTCTGTAGAGTCATTGACAATTTGAAAGCACAAAACCTATCTGTTGATTGACCCTAGGCATCCAAAGAGCCGATGACATTGGATAACAAACTGATTCCACCCAACAGGTTGAACGAAGAACCTGTCCATTTCTATTGTCATCATTTCTTGACTAATAATCATTCTTCTCATTTTCTGTACACCTTGCTGTTATCCACTCATAGTGAAACTTTATGTCTTTTTTTTTCTTCTCCTTATCATTGATAACAAGAATAGATAGTCAGAATATTTTAACTTATGTTTGAGTGCTGGCAAATGATGGGGCATTTTTGCCTCTACTCCATCTGCTCCAAATTGGACATCAAATAAAAAAAGCTGGGTGTCCTTATTAGATGTCAATGGGAGACTGAAACCACACAAGCCCTTGTGATCAGAATTCCCCTCCTTCACCACCTCCATTGCTGGCTCTATCAAAGCATACCTGACTTGCTGATAAGCCTTTCTTTTTCCTCCTAGAGATTTCAACTAGGTACATAATAAACAATACATGTCCACTTTGTTTGTTTTCCTCCACATGAACATCCACACTAAGCTTCTGCAGGTCCCTCTAAAACTCTGTGTTGTCTCCCACGTTTGGTGTTGTGAGTATGATGCCACTTAAATGACTGTCTCAAAAGGGATCTTTGTGGGGGAATCTGTATGTTTCCAACAACCAGGTTACACTATTTATAGAGGGTGTCTCTGCATTGACAGGAATGACTAAATATAAAGAAGAAAATAGATTGGAACAATTAGTTAAATAATTGTGAATCATAATACCTACAGCCAGTGAGGTTACCTGTGGTTGTCTGAACTATGTTTGGTACCTGTGAATTCTATATGAAAAGGAGACTTTGCCATGTTTTATTCATTTAGAGATCATGGATGCAAACAAAATATCCAGGGTAGAGTGGGTGGGTCTTAATATTGAAAAGCGTCTGAATTAGGGGGAAGCAATGGACATGATACCCCGGGAGAAAAGAAAGTGACTTGACCATTGACATCAAATCACCTGTTACATGTTGTGGAGAATTTCCGATAGACATGGATGTCTTCACACATAATGACTCTTTATTTTATTGTTCACTCAGTTTTCATTTTTAATATTTGATTAGTGGAATAGGTAGTCAGACATTATTTTATTTTATTTTATTTTATTTTATTTATTTATTTTTTTGTTTTCCAGGTAACAACCGATAGCTCATTCCTGCCACCCGTCAATCTGACCGACGTGGGCAACCACAAAAGAAAACCTGGGTTTCCTCTCAACGTGTAGCTCCTGAATGCCCACTGTGGCTCATCTCACACTCTGTAGGGGAGAGTCCTATCTTGCCTCACAGTTCGTAGACTTTTCAGCATCTCCAGCCCAGAATTAATGGCTGTGTCCTGACATGAGTATGCTCCGTCAGGGGCCCCATATGCTTCCACATCTCTTGGCACAGAGGACTGGCCTTACTAAACAACTGGGACTGTGCATGGAGCCCCCAAGCCAGGCAACGTTGAAGCCACCAGGGAGCTTTTCTCTGAAACTGCCAGATGCACTGATACAGCCAATACCACTGATTCCAGAACCTCTTGGTTGTTTGGGGGGCTCTGCAGCCCTCAGATTCCTCTGATCGTAGGTCTCATCTGAGGATACCTGCATGTAGCACTCATAACACTGTACTACTACCGATCAATAACACACACACAAATTAACACTGTGATGGTTTTCTAGGTAATGGACTCCAGGTTTCCTTCTACCATGTTCCTAGCACACAGGCAGTGCCCACCCTTGGATTCTAGGTCTGGGTGAGAGTTCCTAGGTGAGTGAGATCAGCTCTGTGAGGGACACCCTGCTTTTTCATTCATTTAGGTGAGCCGTCCTGATGGTTATTTTTCCTTCTGACAACCTGTTGTACTACTCAGACACCTGCATTCCACGGCGTGGCAGGCTCACTGCTCAGTGACCCACAGCAGCCCCTGGCAGTGACTGCAGGAACCACAGTATCTTCCTGCATGTGCGTATCTACATCAATCGTCATGGACATTCCTGCACTGATCAAGGTGTCAGAGTTGAGAATTCATCACCACTGGCTGTTACTCAGGCCCCCTTTCAAAGGTGGATTTTTCTAGGGGCAGGCATGGAGGAGCTGTGCTGATGTTCCCCATATGGGCTTTGTGTCCTCCCAATCCAGCTTCCTGGCAGGCACTGAGTGCCAGCTTCGTTCCAGGGACTGAGAAGTGCATCTGTGTCACTTTTCACTGTCTGGTGAAGGTAACAGGAATATCTTATCTACAAGAGTGTTGAGAACATGCCCATTTCCACAGACCATATACCTGTGCTGGGTTCCTGAGGCATGTCCCAGCTATGTGAGCTACCATGTCATTTCAGCAACTACAAATGTAACCTCTATGTTGATGTTGTCATCATGTCTTTCACAATTGGGAACAGCATTAAGTAGCCATCCCTTCTATGAAACTGTTAACAGTAATATGATAAATCAAAACAATATCTATCTTTTCAGTAATTGTATGTCACAAACTCATGCAATAAGCCATCAGGAAGAACCAGCACTTTGTGACCCCACTGGGGTGAGATTTCTGAGTCAGTGAAGCTCATAGACCCAGGTAGCAGGATGGAACTTGGCAGTGCAAGTAGGAGAACGTGGGAAGCAGGTGTTCCCTGGCTGGGAATTTCCATCATGAGACAGACTCATGGCTCAGATCCTCCTATAGAACTTGAGCCTGGAATGAGTCACAATGTGTTGTGCATACAAGGTTATGTGGTAGACACTTCACACGTAAAGTGTCCTTAGTGTGATAAGATGAGACTTGACGAACCCTGTTCTAATACTGTGGAGGCAGCCATTCCAGAAAATGACACACCTGGCACATTTCATTGTCTGAATTCTGATGAGTTTGAACTCTACACAATCACCTTTGCCCTGGGCCCCCAACACTGCATTTCAGACACCTGTTTGCACAGCTAACAGGGAATATGTATCCTGAATACAGGATTGAAAATTGCAGACAAGCTTTACAATTTGCACTACCATGTCCAGATTAAGACTAAATTATTATGTCAGCAAAGATTGGAGTTTCTCCCCTCTACTCCTGTACCTGCATCCCCCCACTTTACCATAAACACCACTTGCCTTCCCTCTACTCAGACCACCATTAGCATTTCTGCCTGAACCCATGCTTTCCAATTGCTTTTCATTTTGACCTCAGATAAACATTGGTTGATGCACATGTTACTTTTTATCTTTACAATATCATTACAATAATTAAGAGGGATTCTGCCCTAATACACTGCCTGGGTTGATCTTGAGAATATCATATTAACTCAAGTGAGAGAGGCACAGGTGAGCAAACACCAAATGCTTCTCCTTAACTAAAGTCCCACAGAGAGTCCAGGCACAGAAGGAGAAGGCTATGAGGTCATTGTGCAGAGCTCACAGGAGAGGCATGGTGGAGCTGCTTTCCAGGGAATAAGCATCCTTCTATGCAGGGTGGATAGGTTCCACAGGGCAGCTGCCCACTGCTGCCCTTGGGGTTAACAAACAGCATGTATTTTGGTTTGTTGCAAGGGCTGATTTTATTTGGAATTCTCACAACATAAAAGGACAAAGAGGACTTCGGCTCCAGTGTGATGGCCAAAGAACTACAAGTCTTCATTCAGAGTCAGAATGCAGAAATAATTTTAATTGTTCTACAATATCTGGATATGGTCACATTGTACACCATCACAGAAGCATTTACTTCAGAAAACACACTCAGTGGGAAAAGTTAGGCAACAGAGATGAAGACACACACCCTCCCTTCCCTGTCCTAGTGCAGAACAATTATTCAAGACAGCATGTTCCAGAGCACAGACTCTGTAATGCCAGTTCCTTGCCACAAGACCCCATTTCCAAAGTGGAAAATGTCATTGACTCTCATCCATTACCAATCTGCTTGTTGCAGAAGTGGAGCTCCAGGCTGGTGCCATTAAAAGACAGGACTCACTCTGTCCAAATCTACCCCACTACAGAGAAGTAAGTCCTATCCTCTGGACAACATCCCTGGGACCCTGGGACCCTGACTGCCTCTCTCTGCTATGCCTGGTAGGGTACAACCACCAATACAGGCTGGCCAGGGAAGGGGAGATGCCATGCACTCTGGGGTGTTTGCTCAGCTCATTGCTGTGTGAATGATGAAGCCATCTTGGTCTTCAGTGGCTGCTGAATAACGTGTCCCAGAATTTTGTCAGGAAAACGGCAGGAAATCCTCCATCAGATCAAGTTCCAGATCTATTCTCATGGAGATGATGTCATTTCCAGCAGCGTGTGGAGGTGCTGGTGGTCTGGCTGTAGTTACAGGCACTTGGAGTAGATGGGGAATCAGTGGTGTGTCAGCTGCCAGGACAGTCCTGTAGCTGAGGGAAGGACACTAAACTGAGGCACCTGGAGGAGACAGATGCTGTCAGGACAACATCACACCTGGTTGTGGACACTGTGCACTCACGGCAGCCTCGAGGTATTTCTGTCCAAGTGTGCTGCCATCGATCTCTCGGGACCCAGGTGAGAATGAAGGGAATATCAGACTTCTGAGAGTGTAGCTTCCCACCTGGGACATGGAGAAAGGGAGAGACAGACCTGCTAGACAATGTCATCAAGGTATCTGTGTGATACACCAGGTCATACACATTTATTGGCCTTAAGGCTGGTTCCTTCCAAGATGACCTACTACAGAGAACCACCAGCACTGATATCTGCACTGCTGGTTGTTATTTTCACTGCTGAGTAGAATTGGATTCATGGATGTTCCCTCATTAAACCCTAGCTGTGGTGAATCAGTGGATTGAGAGCTGGCCAGTTTGATTCCCCTGTAGAGCGCATGCCTGAATAGCAGACCTGGTCTCCAGCAGGGGCAGCACAAATGCAACCACACATTGAAGTGCCTCTCCCTCTCTTTCTCCCTCTCATTCTCTCTATAAAATTAAATAAATAATCTTAAAAGAAAAGGAATAAGAGAACATAGAGTGACTTGATGAAGGAGAGGTCAGTGCTGATAATTCATCAGCAAATGCACATTGTCTCTTTTTTAATGTATTTTCTGAAGTGAGACTCTGAGATATTAGATTCACAGAGAAGAAGAAAGACTTGTCCCTGGATGAATCTGAGAGCTCTGTAAGAAAATGTCTCTTCCCAAGGGGAAGCCCCTTCTTACCCTTAGAGGCCCACACCTGCCCCTTGGGTTGAGCCTCCTCTCTGTGATACCTGTGTGCCCCCTTGTGTCCTAAGCAATTCCTGCAACCTAGAACTTGTGTCCCCTGCATGAGGTTTCCGTCTAGGCTCACACTGACTTCCCCTCACTGTGTCTCTTGCACAGTAATACATGGCCGTGCCATCTGTTCTCAGGCTGTTTAGTGTCAAATAGACTTGGTTTTTGGAGTTGTCCTTGGTGATGCTGAGGCGAGATTTCAGCCCTGGGTTGTAGTATGTGCTTCCACCACCCCATATAACACCGACCCACTCCAGTCCCTTCCCTGGAGGCTGGCAGGCCCAGTGCACACCATAGCTCGATAAAGAGAATCCAGAGACAGTGCAGGTGAGGGAGAGGGTCTGCGAGGGCTTCACGAGTCCTGGGCCCGATTCCTGCAGCTGCACCTGTGACAGGACACCTGAGGAGAAGTGGAATCAATTTATGCCAGTCATTTTCAGTCATCACCACACCATAGACCCATGCCTGACATCTGAGACACTCACCCAGCGGGGCTGTCACCAGACACAGGAGGAGACCCAGCAGTCTCATCTTCTGGAGCATAGCTCTGTATTCCCCAGAGAATTAAACAATGTGTGAGGGGAGACCTGTGAGCTTCCCACAGCCCAGGGTAGCATTTGACCTGGCCGGGTGGTGGGGGCAGAAACTTGCATGAGGAGAAGCCTTTCATGTATAAGTAAAGAGGGACTGAGGTCAGGCACCGTGGTTATTCTGGGATCTCTCTGGAGTACTCCCTCCCCTCAAACTCACTCAACATGTGAATCAGAGAAGGGGGAAAATAACTCAGTTCATAAGACACATGGGTTTTGCAATCTTAGACTAGATGAATAGGTGGCTTTTGAAATTTCATGCATCTTTCAAACAGGTTTGAAAGGAATTACCACTGGTTCAGACAGTTTCTGAACCAAAACTCTAGTATATCCACAATATCCAAAATTTTATGTAATTTCATACAAATAATGTCTGTAATGGTAAAAGTATTAAAAAATGAGGGGCATTAAATGTCAACATTTTGTTTTTTAATTTATGATTTCATTTGGATCTGAGAAACACCCTGCCATGCACAGGCAAGTGGAACATTTATATTCTTCATGTTAGAAATTCCATTCTTTTTCTTCAAGCTCCCGTGTATAAACTGTTCCCTTATGCCAGCCCAGGGCACAGTGATGAAGGATTATGGCAGGAGAATATCTCATCTTTTTCTCAGTCTACTGCAGTCAGAGATTTGGGTTTCAGAGAGAGAGACATGAGGGGAATTCGTAGTGTTGATTTGCTCACAGGAAAGGGAACTTCAACCCTAACAGGAACTCACCCCAATCCTCTTTTGGCTCTGTTTCTGGTGATGGTCAAGTGTGGTCAGAGGGTGCAAGGTTCCCACAGCCATCATAAGATATTCTTAGTGCATAATAAGCATTTACTTTTGTTACACTTAGGATCTGGAAATATATTCACATTTATCTTCTTATTGGCTTAATGGAACATTTTTGGGAGATATTATTTAATTTTATCCAATCTAATATGTTAATATTTTAGTAGATCTTTTATTGGGGGATTTTATATTAAAGACTCTGATGGAATTGTTCAGATTCCATTGTCTATGCTCACGCTTTCCAGCAGCCATAGGGACTAGAGGAGGATCTGGTACCAGGAGCGGAGGGCTGTTGGAAAAACATCCACCAATCTGGGATTGGCATTGCAACAGGTAAAGGGAGGCTGGTGGGCTACTTTTGTGCCATATGACACAGCTATGCCTGGTTTTCACTAATAGTTACTAGAAATATGGGAATGAATGACAAATAAGTATGTTCTGGGCATGTTATAGACAGAATTTGTTATCTTAAGAAATGACTAAGTAGTTATTGACAGGAATTTGTTGGAAATAGAAATATTTAAAACACTCCCTGTAGAGATCAAGGGACATAAGGAATATGTCACTAGAAAAGAGTTGAATGGGGACTGATAGTGTCTGTCAATCACATTTTACCAGGGTTTCTGCTACATTTTGTAACAATGTGAGATGTCCAGGATTTAGTAGTTGGACACAATTAAGGTCATTTTCCTCTGGTGTTCCCATGAATCATCAAAGTGGCATAGTTCATTTATGAAATTTTGCAACACTTACAACAAGCAGAAGACACCTCTGAGAGCAGGAGCCATGGTGACGGTGTGTCTGTATGAAGAGCCATAGTTTCATTGCACCAAGACCTCTTTCTCAGTCCATCTCCTTCATCCACATCATCATTATCATCATCAACATAAACATCACTGTCTCCATTTCATCACCATTATCATCACCATAAAGATCATCGCTGACATCATCATCATCTTCAACATTACTTGCTTACTTATAATCATTTTTATTTACTTAGTCATCGTTGTTATACACACACAGTGTTTTTGCCTTTTTTTTTTTTCTGCAGCTTGTCGCTCTGTTTCTGGTTGTTAAGTGTAATAGGTAATCAGACATTTTATTTTATGTTTGATAACTGGCTGCTGATAAGGCAATCCCCTCTTTTCTCTATCTGCCCCACACAAGCATCTTGATAAGAAACAAAAGCCTGGCTCCCCTCTTTAATTGTCATTGGGAGATTGAAACCACACAAGTCCCTGTAACTCAATTATCTTCTAATGACACTTTAACAAAAGGAAAGCCCTGAGCCAGTATTATTCCGTGGCTCTGTCAAAGCATGTCTGATGAGCTGCAGGGCTTCTCCTGTCACTCCCAGAGACTTCAACTCTGTGCACAATAATCATTCCAAAGTCCCTTGGGGTGTGGGCTTGTCATCATCCTGGGCATCCACTTCAAGCTGTCATGCATCATTCTGCCTCAGAGTCATTTAAGACATAGTCATGAAAACTTCTCTATGAACTGTGAGCATGATGCCAAGTCAGTGACTGTCACCATGTTGGGGTCTTTCTCCTCTGCTGTTGGGCTCATATGCCTCTGGCGCTAGTTGTCTAGTGTGCAAATGTCCTCCTGTAGGCACCTCAAAACTCATCTTTATTTCTCCACAGGAGTTAAAGTTACACTTCAGACCCATGTACTCTGTATCAAATACCAAAGTGACAAACAAATCCAGTCTTCTCAAAGGGGCACTGAGACAAATGCAACAGCATATATACCTCAAGCCTTGAAAATGCCTATAAAAGAGATTTAAAGTTATCAAACCACTTTCTCTATTTGCATGAGTGCCCCATCTGCTTGCTGGTACTGATTTTGATCTGTAAATTGCCTGCCCAATAAACGTTCTCTCCAAAGAGAAAATGGCTTTCTCTCAAGTCCCAGTGGAACATGTACTCCAACTTCAGGTGCTTGAAACATATTGAGGAGGGTAGAGAAAACAAATGTCCCTTCCTGAGTTCTACAATTAACTGAGTAAAGTGGTTGGGGAAAATGGAACTTCAAGGTTATTAAAGAACATGTACACAAGTGGCCTGTGGTCTCCGTGGAGAATCACCAGTTGATAGATATTTCTTTAGAAGGACTTTGTTACCCTGGTTCTGAGCAGCTGCACATCAGCATGACCTTCAGAATCTCTTCAAGACTTTAACCACTATGGCCTAGAAATTGAGAGCCTCACTTTCTAATCTTAAACCTCTGGACTCTCCAGGTAGAGTTGTGTTAGGTAATCAAATTGTCTAGGACAATATACTAGGAAGAACAAGGAGTTTGCATGACCATTAACTCCTCTTGTTACACTGACACCCCAGCTCTGATGGAAACAAGTATTACCTAAATCAGAGCACAGACTTCCTGGTGTGAACAGACATTACATCATCACACCCCTCTCTTCTAGGAAACTCAGGGTTGGTTAATGAGACTATTGTCATGGATACTACAGGGGCTCAAGTCCAAATAGGAGGAATTTTTAATTTACATTTAATTGTTGTTGTTTTTTTTTTTTTTGCCTTATAATGTCTAACTTTATTGTGCCCTTTAGCCCTTTATTACTTGCTTTTCCCATGCCCAAAAAATAGAATCTGCTAGCCAGGCATTTCTACAAATATACCTACATTTAACTCACAAGATTTTGCTTTCCAATAAGCTCAAGTTTCTCATTCCCTTAGAAGATTCACAGTACATCAATAGCTCTGTAGATGTTTGGGAAGAACTGACATCAGAAAATTGAAACATGAAATAAAAGCTTTATAGTGTTCTGAATTACTATGAAATGGAATAAGTAATAGTACTAACTTAAAAAAAAAAAACACCTCACATACACCCAGGTTATTTTAAAACCATATTGAATGTATTCTCAGTTTCCTGCTTTTACAAGAAACCACTTTGAGCACAGTTTCAGGTGACACAGGAGGCCCAACAACAAAAATGTTGTTGACGCCAACCAATTCCAGAATTATGACAGCAAAGTTCTGTATTATGACCATCAAGGACACTGCCTGTATGTCCACAGCTTATCAACATGATCTCATTTTTTTTCTTTTTGCCACTCTCTTTCATTAAAGAAGATCTTTCATGCATTGATATATTGATAGGCTTTGATATGAGAGTCTCTCAAGCTCTGGGTTGCGAGCACTTGAATAAAACCATTGTCACTTACAACAGCTCCTGACTCTCTTGCACTGCCTCTTGAAATTTCAGGCAGTTAGACATGCCTTTTGTTACATCGCTGTTGTACCTTCTGGTGAGGGCTCCCTTCCTGGTTCATATCAGACAGCTTCTTGTTTCGTCTTCATATTGTGGGATCATAAGCAAAGTCTCTGAGCTTATTGGGAAAGGCAGTGGCTTCTTTCTTGGCACTCTCATAACCCAAACATCTCAAAAACTTCCATTTTTAATACTATCTTCTTTAGGGAATGAGCAATTTTACATATAAAGTTCTAAGAACCCTGTTTACAGGCCACAGTACTGCCCTAGATCCCCTGGGAAAAAACAGATCATTCCACCATAGTGACCTCAGTCTAGAGAAGATATTTAATGCTCTGACCTGCAGATAGCATCAGAATAAATGTGTAGAAATGACATCCCCTTGTGTGTGATAATTGGTTTCATTGTGATAAGAACAGAGAACAGGCTGAATGTGGTCTCCCATTGTCAAGGGTGTCCCCACCCTGCCTGCTGTGTGATGACCAGTACTGCCTAAAGACAGGGACACTTACAAAGCTATAGTCTCAGGTGAAGAGACGCCTCAGGATCTCCCACTGAGGAACGATTGATAGAACACTGTGATGTCATAGATTTTGCAAGAATCTGGAACCTTGTCAACCTTCAACTGCACATCCAGGATGTCATTTCTGTGATGAATATCCAGAGACAAGGGCATAGAAATTCATCCTTGTCATTCATGTACTTAATTTCACCAAGTACACTTCCATTGTTCTCAGTAGGGGATGTTATACAGCTTCTTGGGGAGTCACTATTCAAAAACCTCAAATCTGACCCTAACCAAGTTTCTCAGATGATGTTTCCACGAACACCCCTCATTTAGAAAATGAGGAGGCTCCGAATGTGCTCTCTGAACAAATGGAGAAAACACATTAAATTACTGAGGTCTTTTCAGGAGTATCTTTCC